ACCAAACCTATTTATTAGCAATTAGTAACCCTAGATTGACATTTTCCCTAAGAAAAACTGCAAGTAATACCACTCTTCTTTATGAATTAGGTTGGGTAGGTAGGAGGTGTCTCATGCCTTGGACCTGCGAGCTTGTCGGTGCGGTGTAAGCCATGGGATCTACAGAGTGTAGCATATTGTTTGGCTCAAACCACTTACAAAATCAACTAGCCAATGCTACACTTGAGTATTTAGCTTTTTTTTATTTAAATACTTAAATGTCTGATATTGGGCTCATGTCGGACGGCTTAAATTCATGTCGGATAGCGGAAATCGGGGATATGTCAAGGGACATAAAAAATATCGGATTGTCATATCAGATGGTGTGTATATCTATAATATAATATCATAATTGAAATCTAAACATATTTAATAAATTCTATTGTCTAAACATATTAAAAAGTAAATAACTTATGATGCTTAGGGTTAACGTTAAAAGAAAGAGGTGAGAAAAATAGAGTCTAATGTTGACAGTTAAGGAGAGAGAAGATCGCTCGATATTGATGTCGAAGGAACAATTCGGAGAAGAGACCGATGAGATGTCGAATGAGAGAGAGAATAGGAGCGACGAAAATGACTTTGGTCCTTTTTTCTCCTAATTGATCGGGTTTTGTCTTTAGAAGTAATATTAAGTCAATCAGGAATTTAAACCCAAATCTGATTAGATAAACATAACCAAAAAAATTAGACATTTTTTTAGATTAAAAAATTGGTCGGCCGACGTATCCGACGTGTCCTTTGATATATCTGACATGAACCTTAAAAATGTAATACACATTGAAAACACCATATCTTGTTGGTTGGTCCCTAAATCCGCGATGTCGGCCGACATGTCCGATGTGGCGTCCGATATGTCGGCCGACATGTCCGATGTGGCGTCCGACATTTAAAATACTACTTCTCACTAGCTGATGTAGGACTAACATTTGGACGTCACAATCACTCCACCTTACACGGGCGACGTTCTCGTCATGACATGATAATTGGCACATCCCAGTATCACTACCAGGCGATATGGACTCTAGAGGTGGCTCCTATAGTACTCACGCTATGTAGTATTTAGCCTTACTTAACACTTAACCATGCATAGCACTTAACTCCACAATTCTAGCTGGCAAACTGCTGTGATACAATTTGTCATGTCTTGGACCTGCGAGCTTCATAGTGTGGTGCAAGCTAGAGTCCCATTGTGTGTAGCGTGTTGTTTGGCTCGAACCACTGCCAAAACACTTGAGTCTTTAGTTTTACTATTTAAACACTTATTTCTCTTCCGTTTACTGTAACATCTTATACCTGTTATCTTAGCAAAGTATCAACTGTCATGAGTTTGTATTTGATCCTTGAGGTGTTTAACCATCAATAAGGAATATGACCTACATATTCTAAAATGTTAACAGGCTCTCAAAGGTGTCTAGGGAAGGAAAGTACTCACAGTCTGATGTCCCAAGGCAGTTGGTTTATGGCACAATGGTTTATGTTCGTCAAGCGATCGTAGCTGATGCTTCCAGAGCTTTGTCCAGAGCTGTTTGTATTGCTGTAAGGTATAGTGCTGTTCGCAGACAATTTGGCTCACAGGATGGGGGACCTGAGATCCAGGTATTACAGCTCACATTTAGAAACATAGATTCTAACTTATACGGGTATAAAAATCATATAACAAGCTTCACAGAGTCCAGTAATGATGCCAGATGCTGATAATTTGTTGTTTAATTTGTTGTTTAATGTGATTTAACTTCAAACACAACTTTTATACTTATTTGCATGTCAAGATTCTCTCTCCTTTACGTGGTTCACAGAATTCTCGTCAGGCTACTTAGATTCCATACTGAGATTTTGAATATTTGTTCCTATGCTACAAACAGTTTGAAAAATAAACCTGGAGATGTGGATTATATTGTTATTATCATATCGTCTTTGCATCACATGTACCTCTGTTGTTTTGGGTTCTTCTAATAAATGTTCTGCTGCAGGTTATTGATTATAAAACTCAGCAAAACAGGCTCTTCCCTCTGTTGGCATCAGCCTATGCTTTTAGGTTTGTGGGCGAGTGGTTGAAGTGGTTATATGCAGATGTGACGAAAAGATTACAAGCTAATGATTTTTCAACTTTGCCTGAGGCTCATGCATGCACTGCTGGTTTGAAATCTTTGACAACTTCAACAACTGCTGTATGTAAAACATTTATTACATTTTGATAAATTACATGATGACATTAGATCTTTTTGCAATTAAACTTTCACAGTTGTGTGTGAATATTACCTAGCATAATCCTCTTAGTTTTTCACTTAAGAGCGTGAGTATTGGTACAATATAGGGCTCCCAATGTTGTGGTATTGCCAGTACAACAAAAGTTGCATATACCCACACTTATTTTACGACAAATATAGAAGTGTTGTGTTAATTGCAGTGGATTAAATGGCAGCTTACAAATAAAAATTGTTGGAAGCCACAGCAAATTTATTTTGTTAGATACTAAATAAAATTAACGTGTAATGGGAACACTTGAACGAGATGGAATTGTTCTTAGTCCCACATCGCTTAGTTAGAAAGAATTAAATGAGTTTAAATACTTTTGTTGAATTCACATTGCTACAGATATGTGTAGGTATATAAAGAGGCATATGTGCCTTTGAAGCTGGTCGGATATTACTGGGGATTCATTAAAGCGGTGTTTGGTTGGGGAAAAAAGTAGAAAGTTATTCCTATAAAGGACATGAATTGACAGGCAAAACAAGAAAATTGGAGCACAACACAAATGTGTCATAGCTCTTGACACATGAACGTGTTGCAACTCCTAACACATGTATGTGTTGCGAGTTTTGTGACACATTCCCACATGTATAAAAAGACCCTCTCCGCACATCCTCTATCCATACTTTCGACTTGTGTTGCGCTCCATTTGTGCAACACAAAAATGTGAAGCGAGGTAACAAAAAAATATCACAAGTCACAATTTTTGTTGTAGTGCGCAACCCAAAGTGAAAATATTGGTTTTGTTTTGAAGGTGTCTGATATATAGTAGTTCCAATAATCTCTTATTAAAAGTAACTAACATTACCGCTGTAGTTAAGCATCTGTGAATTACTAGGAAGGCGGCACTTTGAAAGTTCTTGCTTCGGCGCTATGATTGAAGTATAAGCATTTACCCTATTTGGATGTCTTGACTAGCATAAAATATTTTATGTCAACTTAAATAGCGCATGGTTTTTTTTTACAAAAAGATTCGACCCTATTTTCCTACACTAATTTAGCTTTGTAGACGAAGATGGATAGTGAGTGAGTCAAGGATGCTCTCATGAAGATTATGTTGGAAAATTAGCCTTAGATGTCGTATTTTGAAACTGTAACTTCTGCTCTTCTCTTTCTTCCTCGAACCAGAAAAAGAAAAGAAAAGAAACGAAAAGAACATCTTGTCTATTTCATCAAACAATTTATCAACTATGTTTATGTGATAGAGGTTCCTTTTGTTAGTGATAAAGAATTGTATATGTTCTGTGGGTATTTGCAGTGTTCGCTTAACAGTATACTAACGAAAGTATGAACGCCCGTTCTTTTTCCATGTCCCTTTAGTAATTGTTGAAATTTGTTAGAGGTTTTATTTGTTAACATACGAGTTGTGTATATTCATTTAGAAATCTCTGATGTATTTAGTATAATGCTGATGGAAAATGTAAATGATAGTAGCTGCTAGGCTATTCCACTACTAAAAAGATATGATAACCTTAGTAAGTCAGCTAAATGGTGATTGACTTGCAACTGGAACATTTTACGAACTGACATATAAGACTATGATTGGCTAGGTTGGTCACCCCCATATACACTGATCTAACTGTCTATGAGCCAAAGAAATGTTCCTATGTCAGGTCTTAGAATTTGTGGTGTTCTGACGCTCTAGAAAGAAGAAATATGATACACCTGTTTCAAAGTAATATTGTTAGGAATGTTTCCTAAAAAAACTTCATGTACAATATACAATTTTGATGTAAATAAGAAAGATCCCTCTGTTCTTTTGTTCCCCCTATTTCTAAGTTTCGGAATCTCCAATTTCTAAATTAGCAGAATCCAAAATATCCAGTTAACAATATTTTAGGGTAAGGGCATGTTTGGCAAACGGAGAGTAAAAGGAAAGTGAGCTACAAACCAGACAGTGGCTTCATTTTCTGTTTGTTTCTTATAAAATTTCCTTAGGAACTAGATGTTAACTTTAAAATCTTTCATGATGCCACACTAGTCTAATTCTCTTTTAAGCTATGTACTAACCTTGCAACATAGATAATCTCTTCAGGAACTTGATTTATACTATATTATGCACATTGTATCAAGTTAAGGAACTTAAAATATTCTTCAAAATTATTTAGTTACAGTTTTTTTAATTTGTTTTCAATGTTAACTATTTAATCAAGTCCCTGATTCTGACTAAATTAAGAGATATGACGATATAACCAACATAATGGGATCGTTATTTCGAGATATCTGTTTATGTTGGTTAATCATGGCTGGGCTTTAATGAAACCTCCTATTCAATTTTTTGATGCAACTGTTTCTTAGGGTAGAGATTGGAGAATTGAAGGCATTATATGATAGGAAACTGTTATGTAGGTACTTCTATCATGAAGCCGTAACCCTACCCGACACATCCCATCCAAGGAGTGTCGAGTACTTGCACATAACATGTCAGATAAAGTGTATGGCTTAATGATACAATCCTGGGTTTCTGATTCCCGCCATTGTATTTTCAGACAACCACACTTAGTATAGGTTTCTTCTTAGTAAAGTCTGGACCAAATTTTTTTTTTGTTTAGTATAGGTATTGATGTAAAGTTGAACCTTTTCTGTTGCAGGATGGCATTGAAGAGTGCAGAAAACTGTGTGGTGGTCATGGTTATCTTTGTAGCAGTGGGCTTCCGGAGTTATTTGCTGTATATGTTCCTTCTTGCACTTATGAAGGAGATAATGTTGTTTTGCTTTTGCAGGTTGGTAATTTTTTTTCCCTTCTGCTTACTCAACAAAGTTTATAAATTCAGTATTCACACCTATGAAGTATAAGAGCTTCACTGGAGTAGCTACTATTATCTCATGGTTGACACCACATTGTAGCAGTTTGCTAAGATCCTTATTTTAAAAGAAAGGAATTTGTTCTTTTGTCAATAAATAACTTTTTGTCATGGAAAATCCTTTACATATACTGACCCTGATGTATTTATATTGTCGTATATTTCTCACCAAAATGCAGCTATGAATTTTTACAGATTACACTTCAGCTGAGTTCATCCTTTCCTGTAATTTATGTCTTGATTTCTAACTAAGCTTCTAAGGTGTAAGGGGGAAAAATAGAAAATCTAGGGAGAGCACAAGTTGTACGCCTTTTAGAAGAAGAAGAAAGAAGAAGAAGAAGAAGAAGAAAGAAGAAGAAGAAGAAAATCTAGGGATGTCACTAATTGTATACCTTTTAGAGGAAAAGAGAGTTCTAATTGACAATTTCTTGCAGTTTGCCCTTTCACTTACTCTATAACTGCAATTTATTTGCATGAAGTACCTCTTACCCCATGTTTATAACTATAATCTCTGGTTCATGAGTCATAGCTGCTCATGATATGGTCAAAGGCAAACATTGACAAGCTGCTAGCTGTATTCTACTGTTACTGACTTATCTGAGTATGTTTATGTTAATTGTTTGTTGGAGCCCAAAGAACTTTGGTTATTGTACTGGTGAATTTCACCTATGCCTTTAACCACCATGACCCATGCACATTGTGGTAGGCATAGAAGCGAGAAGAGAACTGAGTTCTGCTTTTGATGCTTTGTTTTCTCTCCCATTTACTCTTGCTGTAAAAGATGAAGACCCCTCCTCTTTCCTTTCATCTACATGCATCTGTTCGAGTCCCATACTAAACTAAGAACTGCACGATCTCTCCTCTCTGTTTCATTTTTGCGTGCACTTCTTAAGTTACAATAGAAATCAAGTGCAATAGTCAGAACTTGTCTTAACTTATATTTGTTTATGTAGAACTCTGCAGTATTTGTTTACATAGAGCTCTGCAAAATTGTAAAGAATAACAGAAGGTTGTAAGTCAGTTGTGTGAACATTAGTCTTTGTGGTAAGGGTAGTGAGTTATCATGAGTGACAGCTTGCCTCATGTGTACCATGTACTTTATTTGCCATGCTGCCTTTGCGAGAAAGTTCACAGCTAATTTGTAATCACATGGGTTTCACATGTATGTTGAACCTAATTTTCCAAAACATAATTATCAACTCATATTGATGGAATCATGAACTAGGTTTTGATGATGATCAGATAATCTGTTAATGAATTGAGTTAATTCACTATATCATGAATTTCTAATGGCTGTAGTTTGAATGTCAAAGACATTTAATATCGTGAAGGAATGTATGTTAGCTCCAACTTAATATCTTATCCTAAAAAAACATGTGGCTGAATAACTGCAGCAATCACATTAGGATGTGGCTTGATCCCAAACAAAGAGGCGAAGTCTTTCGTATGGTTGTTTAACAAATGGATTGAAGCAATGGGTCATCCTTCTTCGGACATGATTACAGATCAATGTCTTGGCATATACAAGGCATTTGAAACAGATTTTCTAGAAATTCGTCCCAGGTTTTGCATTTGGTATATCTTGGACTAAGTTCTGGAGAAGTTGGGTAAATTGGCTTATAGAACAGAATTTATGAAATCTTTCAAAGAAAATATTTGGGACTCCGAGACTGCTAGCTCTTTTGAAGAGAATTAGGTTTTAATTCTTAAGAAAAATGTATTGGAAGCGCATGATTGGCTAAAGGATATCTAGGAAATTCGTGAAAAATGGGCTCTGGTTTATCATAAACAACACTTTTGGGCCGGAATGTCTAACAGTCAAAGAAGTGAAGGGATGAATGCATTGCTAAAAATGCATGTATCAAAAAAAAATTCACTTCATGATTTCGTGATCATCTTTCAGAGGGTCTTGGCGAGACAAAGAGAGGGGGAGCTTAAAGAAGATCATTGCACAATAGAGAAAAAGCCAAAATTAAAGATTTTGTGGTCAATGGAAAAACAAATGGCCCAAATCTACACGAAAAAAATCTTTTATTTTTTCAAGATGAGCTTAACTCTAGCTTAATGTATAACATTGAGCTGGTAAAAGAAAATGAAAGAGAAAGTTTTTCAAGATGAGCTTAACTCTAGCTTAATGTATAACATTGAGCTGGTAAAAGAAAATGAAAGAGAAAGTACTTTCAAATTGAATTTTTGTGGGCTTAATGTATAACATTGAGCTGGTAAAAGAAAATGAAAGAGAAAGTACTTTCAAATTGAATTTTTGTGGTCATGATGAAAGATTGAGACATGTTATATATTGCAAAACAACTAAAATGGTCCGTTGTTCGTGTCTCATGTTTGAATTCAAGGGCATTCCATGCCGACATATCGTGACGTATCTTAAAATTACCAATCATAGTAAGTTACCTGAGCAATATATTCTAAGAAGATGGTGCCGAAATGTCAGAAAAAGTGTTGTTCTTAGAGATTGTAATATTATGGAGATAATGCCATAATTAAATTTGCTTCTCGTTTTAGTAAACTAAATTGCTTAGCTAATGAAATGGTCGAAGATGAGCTATCTTCTAATGATGCATATGAATTAATGTGTGAAATGATGATGGATGCTATTAATAAGGTACAACGTTTGAAACTCATCAATGAGGAAGAAATTGGACAAGATGTGAAAGAACATTATATGAATGCGGAGTGTTCTCAAGATATAGTTCATGAGCCAAGTCAAGCAAGAATAAAAGGAAGGCCCAAAGGGAAGAGGTTAAAGCCATCGAGGGAGATCCGCAAATGCCGGCCTAGGAAATGCAATTTGTGTGGAATGCGAGGACAAAATCATGATAGCAGAAATTACCCACTAAAGTTATCAAGGAAGTTGCTTGTATTGTCATTAATGTAGATTGGAAATGGACTGATGATCTAAAGCTCTGGAATTGGACTATTGTTGTTGGTATTGGCACTGGAGCTCTAATTCTCTTCTTGTGTTTGTTCATAATTATTCTCTTTTTATATTTTATGATCGCAACATGATTCTGTAATGGAAACATATATGGTTTATTCTGTAATGGAAACATATATACTCAAGAGAAATAGAGGCAATATGATCTGACTAGTTTGCATAGGGTATGGAACTCTTCTTGTTGATTCTGGTAAGAGTAATCGAATATCCCTACAAAGCAAATAAATGCCACTAGTTTATATCCCAAGAAGAACCGCTTTGCAATGCCTGGTCTTTCTTTGGCTTCCTGGTAGCCAACTGAGTTTCATTGTGTTGCATTTAGTACACGTAGTATCATTGTTGAAGATAGAAACCTGGGTTGAATTTGTTTGACTAGATAGAAACCTGGGTTGAATTTGTTTGACTATACTACCAATAATGTAAGAACATGCAGAGAACATACACTTCAACAAATCCAATAATACATTCTTACACCCTACTTAGCACAAATCCAATAAAAATACCAAATATAAATCCAAGAAAAATACCAAATAAAAGAGCAAATACAACAAGCTTCAATAAATCCATAATATCAATCTCAATCTTTCTCTTTTCCCTCACTTCTCCACTTGACACGGCTCTTGAAACTTACGACGTCACGCTCGACTACTTCGTCTGAACAAGTTCTGCCTTTGAACCTTCAAACTCATCTTCATTAGACATCCATTTGAAGAATCCATAATTACTCACTTTCCAATTAGCATATCCCAAAAACAATCGATCAGGGTTCGTCTTAGTTCCAGATTTGGAGAGTATAGCTCTCATTCCACAATGGCACAACAGTCCATGACGATTGCTTGAAGATGACTCCATGATCCATGGCTACAGATACAAAAGTTTGCATATTCATAGCAATTAAAAAATAATAATTGGCAAAAAAAAGGAAACACACTCGAACACTGTAATTTCTCAAGGAGAAGGGGGGAAAGGCCATGTAGTACACAATTATGCCTACTATGATAAATTTATGTAGCTTAAAAAGACTGAGGGCACACCTTAAGACGATCAAGTTTCTTTACAGCTCTAATGCTTTCTCTAGCTACGGCTCTTTTTGGCCAGTTCAATCTTATCCCTCGCCGAAAATACTTTACAGCAGAGCAACTACACTTGCCATAGAAAAGGGTAATTAAATATTGTGAGATGAGGCAATGCAAACACTCACCAATAAAATGAGTAGTTTAAATCTGCATCTAGTTTGGGTTTGTATCGTCCACATGAATTCCTGGAATAGATCATTCTATCATACTTGGGTTCTAAATTACAGCCCTATTTAGACATCCCATGTTTAGTTTTATCTCCACAAAAAACGCAACTAATGACATGAATTGATTAAAGACTGATGGTACAACCCGAGTGAGCCCTATCACCAATAAAACACTATGCTAGTCAACCATCATTCTCAAGAAGAGGTAGAAAAAACAAAAACAAAAACAAACAACATATAATTTTCAAATATGCAATAATGCTCTATAGATCCAAAGTTTATGAAAACAGTGAAAAAATGGGAGGTCGGATCCGGTGGAAAAATGAAAAAACAAAAAGTAAAAACATTAATCGTCAATCAAGGAGTTCACAAGAAAAGTGAAAAAGATCAAATCTGAAATCAAATTTCAGCAAAAAAAGAGGTCGGATCCGGAGTTGATCGGCGGCGGAGTAGGCTTGGGGTCACGAGCGAGAGAGGGAGAGGGAGGAGGGTTTAGGGAGAGAGAGAGTGGGGTGGGTTGGGGAGAGAGGGTGAGGGTCTGGGTCTGGATAAACAGAATAGGGGTCACGAGAATGAGGGGTTGTCTCGGGAACAGTGGTCACGAGAATTGGGGGCCGAACAGTTGTTTTTGCACGTTGCTGTGCGAAAAAATTTCGCATTCGAAAATTTCTCTCTCTATATATATGTATATATGTATGTATGTATATATATTGTATGGTATTGTGTGTGGATGAAATATTTTGGCCCTTAAAAATGTCCATATTCAGCCAAGAGCATATGCACATTGTCGCACAATCTGAAAACCTACGAACATACTTTTTAACTTGTTATTAGTGCCTATAAGTGTCATTTAGTTATTAACTTATTATTTCTATTATTTGTTGAATGTTGCTTAGCTGTAGTTTCTGTTTCATTTAAAAAATTCAATTACGTTTGATATGGCTACCACATGACTTGTACGCTGTAGTTTCTGTTTCATTTAAAAAATTCAATTACGTTTGATATGGCTACCACATGACTTGTACGACATCATATATGTTTTAAGACTTATTGAAGTATGGTCTCCGAATTCATGACTATCAATATGTTGTTATTAAGGGTAAATTTCATAAAAACCACCTGAAACTTTTTGGTGATATCAACAAAAAACCCTGAATTTAAAAATTAGAAAAAACTCTCTGAAACTTAGGGAGGTTGGGGGGAAATTCAGTTCTAGTATTTGTCGGGGGAAGAGAGGATAGATGGAAGTAGGAAAGAGATTAGAGAGGTAGGTTATGGTTTTACTGCGAGAGAGGGGTGTTTACTTTTTCCAAATGGTGTATTTCAGTTTGGAAACTTCAGGGGTTTCTGATAGTTCCAAAGTTTAGGGGTTTTTCTCGAATATTTAAAGTTCAGGGGTGTTTTGTGGAAATCAACCCAAGGATGAAGAGGATTTTCTGAAATTTACCACCCTTTCATCACCTGGGATCTACTAATGTGTTCTTACACACCAATTAAGTGAACTTGCAAAAAATTCCACTAATATGGACCACTCACACTTTTTGTTCTACATTTGTCATGTATGTTTAGTTTTTTGCGTTGTTTCTGAATTTCATTTTTTTTCCACATTCTGATTCTATTTTACTTTAAATGAGTTCTACCACAAATGTAAATGTATAACCCAATTTTGGGTACATTTAATATTCACCTGGTAAATGCATACTGCATGTATCACATCTTGATAGTTGAGACTAGTCAGCTTTTTTCAAGAGATTGCATTAGACATACATATTCTTGATGCATCATTTACAATTTTACATGTGCTTGTTTGTTGTCGTAAACTCTATAACCCTCTTATTCAGTAGCCTATAAACCTTTTTATGTTTCCTCGTAACATCGTAGAGTTGCAAATGCTTTTTGGCATTTGCTTAGCTAATGTAAGCTCTATTTTTCTATTGAAGGTGGCAAGATTTCTTGTAAAGACAGTTTCTCAGCTTGAGTCCACAAAAAAGCCGGTGGGTACCACGGCATACATGGGGAGGATGGAATACCTGATGCAATGTCGTTGTAATGTTCGCCAAGGTACATGTTATGAACATGACCCATGAAATATTGATTTCGTAGGAGTATACTTTACATGTTGACTGTAAGCTATAAATAATTTGAAGGGGAAATTATGAAGGAAAAAAACCTATGGTTTACAGGGATGGGAACTCCCTGAGGTTTTGAAGTGACACTTCATTCCTCCATTTCCATTTCCACGAAATAACTTGGATAAGAAAGACATTTATAATCACAATTTATGACAATCATCTTTACTATCATATAAGAATATATGTTTTTTATACGGAAATTGACAAGTATAACAAAAACATTATGTTTATTTGACGAGTAACTGAAAATAAGGGGGTAAAATTGACACTTTTTAACCTTAGGGGGGATTTGTGTGATTCTTGGGAACCAAGGGATTTTTTCTGTAATTTACCATAGTTAGTCTTAAGGCTGGTATTTAACTTATATTGGCTTAAGAGCCTCCTTGTATCTAAGATTTATATTTTGTTTGTATAGCTGAGGACTGGTTAAATCCGTCTGTCATATTGGAGGTATTTGAAGCTAGAGCTGTTCGGCTTGCTCTTAATTGCGCCCAAAATATTGCCAGAGCATCAAGCCCGGAAGAAGGTTCTCTATAACCTGGTTTAATTGTCTAGTAATTATATAGTTCAAATTCTGGACAAAAATACACTAGAATTTGTTCATCTCTTTTCAAATTATTGATTCTCTACATTATAATTATTTTCACAATTTAGACGTGCATCCTTTCTTTATGCAGGCTTTTCGGAGCTCTCTGCTGATTTAGTGGAGGCAGCAGTGGCTCATTGCCAGTTGATAATTGTATCAAAGTTAGTTTTTCATACATTCTCTTATGTTCCTCTTTCGAGTTTTTCATAAATTTGGACACACTTTCAACACTTTGTTGGTGAAAGTTTATAATGACCCCGGATATTCAGTGGGTTTCTAGTGAAAATGGAACTCTGACAATGGCCATTGATTGTGGACTGGCAACGAGTGGACTTTCAATCAATATGAAAAATACGAGTTTATAACTACTCAAAATTGTCATGCATTTGAACGTCAAGGGGTTAGCTCCTCAAGACTTGCCCAATATTGATTTAATTAGGAACATTTAAGAGCCAACGTGCCTACCTTGTAGAAGTTTACGACATGTGTGTGTATCATGAATTTATTGCTATCATCTGAAGGTGATTTTAGTTTTATGATAGTACAAAGATAATTTCGTTGGCCTTGTTAGATATTATTAGTATTTAGATCTAGCAGATATTATGAGATATGGTGAGATGTGATTAGATATAATTTTATCTCATACCTATTTTGTAATATCTTTCTAATCCCTATTTAAGATATGTTAGGGTTAGATGAATAATGATCTTTTGCCTTTTCTATTTTCTTTACATGGTGTCAGAGCCTACTTGATCACACACAAAATTTTCCCATCTTTTTAGATCTCAAGGCCACCGAGGTGGTTTTGCATGGCCTTCATGCTCCCCTTGACGGCTTTGATGGCATCAACGGCTTCAACAACTACTTCAGCATCATTATTTTCTAGATCTTCTCAAACACCCCACAAAATAACCTTTAAAAAACAGCTTGGTGTCTACTGTTCACATGTTGAATAGTATCGGGGCTAATGTTTACGCGGTGAACAATATTGGAGTTACTATTCACTCTTTGGCATCTTTGGTAATTATCTGCGACAACAACACTTCTTTTTCGACGTTGTTTCTACTGTCTTACCCATCTAGGGGTTTTACTAACTGACTCGCCTAGGGTATCTTCTGACTGACCTGCTTTGGGTTTCTTTTGTTGGCTCACCCGCCTAGTGGTTCTACTGGCGTACTCGCCTAGGCATTTACTGGTTTACCTACTTAGGGTTTCAACTGGCTGACCCGTTTAGAATTTCTACTGACTGATCTATTTAGAATTTTTACTAGTTGACCCGTCTAGGGTTTCTTCTGGCTTACCCGCCTAAGGCTTCTTTTACTGGCTAACTTGTCTAGGGTTTCTACTAGTTGTGGCTATACTTTTCTGATTGTTGACGTCTTCAAATATTTCGGAGAAAGATGACATTATGAAGCTCTTGCAAGTAGCTGTTTGTTTCCATTTGTAACAAGCTGAACATACACAATATATATGCTCTAGCTTGAGGGGGAGTGTTAAATATTTTTAGTATTTAGATCTAGCAAATATTATGAGATATGGTGAGATGTCATTATATATGATTTTATCTCATACCTATTTTATAATATCTTCCTAATCTCTATTTAAGAGAGATTAAGGTTAGATGAATAATGATCTTTTGCCTTGTCTATTACTAGCCTTGTCCTTGCATGATAAATGTTCATAAAGAACAGAGGGCATATATTGAATTGATAGGCATGATGTTTGTTGACCTCAATCCAATTATTCCTTGATGACATTTTTGTATAGAATAATAGAAACAACCCATTATTGCTTTCGGTTTGTACATACAATTAGAAAACTATTAAAAAAAGTCCACTAAAACTATTTTTTTTGGAAATACTAAAGTTATTAACAACTTTTACATTAATCATGGTGCCTTTTACAATTAAACACTCCTGCATTTGTCCTTCTATATTATTTTGTGCATATGACAGCTAAGCTAATCATTAGTTGAACTTTCATAATTAGAATACCTGAGGATTAATAGAATACCAACTCAATACCCGATTGGTAACTTTTGATCGCTTGCTTGCTCTCCAGGTTCATTGAGAAGGTGAAACAAGACTTTGATGGACATGGAGTTAAAGAACAGCTCCAGATCCTCTGCAACATTTACGCTCTCTCCGTGCTTCACAAGTATCTGGGGGATTTTCTCTCAATGAGTTGCATCACTCCCAAGCAAGGCGCCCTCGCAAATGACCAACTCCGTTCTCTATATTCTCAGGTTTGTTTTGTTACTTTCTACAATATTTCAATAATTTACGCGGAATATAAACATTAATTTGAAGTGGTTTTTCATTTAAGATATTGGTTTCTGGGGGAAGTTATCCACAACTCTTTGTTTGTTTAACTGACTTATCATTGTTTGGAAAAAAATTCTTCTTCCACAATTTTTAACATTAAATAGTTTCAAAATATATATGTGCAAATAAATTGAATTTGATCGTGTTGCTCCTACAAAGAAGACCCTTGCATTCTTGCATGTCCTTTGCATAAAACCAAAAATATTCTTTAAGAAAATATTATCACAAAAAGGGGGAGAGTGCTAAAATTGGTAATTGGTCCCATGTTGAGGGTGTAAAAGTGTATCAAATTTTCCTTATGTTAGTCCTCAATTTTGAAATGTCCTAGACATTCAAGTATGGGATACATACTTCCAGATATGAATCATTTGGGGGTATTCATTCATTTAAAAATAAAAATATCTTAAATCCTAACCTATTTTTCTTAATTTCATCTCCTATTTACAATAATTTATATCTCAGTACCATCCGGAGATAAAGGAAACGAAAGCATGTAGCGAAAAATTCATTCAACTTCCGTAACAAACTCAACCACACTGATCCACTTCACTAGCTAATCCCTCAAAAAACTCAACTCACCTCACTAGTCCCTCAACCATTTCTCTCATTTTCACATTCTATTCATTCTACGTGAATCTAACTCCACAAAGCAATCAAGGAATATGAAGCAGCCAAATTTTTTTCGTAAATTCTTACCCATCCAACCAACTGAAGCAACGAAGCAAACTTTGCGGAGATTTTTATTTCATCCCAATCTCCATTTCCATAAGAAAAAATAAAAGTAAATCCAAAGTTTCAACATCTCGTCATTCAATCCTGCAAAGCACTCGCTAATCATTTCCATCTATGACCGAACAATCTCTTCAACGTTTATAACTGTGACAATTGTTTTTCGTAATTAAGAAGGTATATTTTTTCATACTCTTTTCCCCTTCTCTCTCTATTTTCGGGAATGCTTCGACACCCATACAAATATTTGAGAATGCTTTGGCTCCCACCCAATTTTATAGAAAGCTCGAGTAATTACTACCAGAATGCTTTAGCGCCTTTCAAGAATGCTTCAGCACTCATCAATGCTGAAAAAAACAGTAAAAAGCACCACTTAAGCAGTTTTTAAAGCAGAAATCCCCCTAGGACGCTTCGTTTTAACTGCTTTCACTGGGTATTAAGCACCCTAGCTGCTTTTACTTGGCAAGGGGCCCTAAGGCGTGCAAAAACGGTGGAAAATGCTTTAACAATGTTTTTCAGCACTTAAAAATAATGAATAATGCTTTTCTGAGCTGCTATTTTGTACCTGATTTGGACCTAACCCACTTTTAAAATTTGAACCCTCATTTCTCCTTCACTTCCCTATTCTCTACTTTGTGTTCCAAACCAAAACAATACTGGACCTCGAATTTTCCCCCTTCAGCCTCGTCCACCTCTGTCCACCTCTGTCCACCTCAACAAGTCCTTTTCTCTAGCAAAGCCTCCACTTCTCCACCTCGTCCGCCTCCCCTTCTTCGTCAAAACCTACCACAAATTTAGTCAAAGCTCTCTTATCAGTAAAGCCTCCTCGACAAGTCTACCTTCAAACAAAACTATCTCCACGAGAACCCAAAAAAGTCCTACATTCCCCAAATCATCTACGCCTCCAGTGCTTTCTGCAACTTCTCCACGTGACAACGCCACCTCTTGAGCTCTCTCAGCATTGGCAGCAGTAGTGTCGAATAGCAGCTGGACTTTCAACTTTCACCTTTTTCCTCCCCTCCAAATTTCTCCTCTCAAGTACTTTCAATATACTCCTTCTTTGGGTTTGAACTTGATTAAGTTTTTTTGGAGTTTTGTATAACTTAGTGTTTTAAAGATGGAATGTTTTGATTTGATTCCATTTAACTTTAGTGTTTTGTTGACCGGTTTTTTCTTAACACTTTTCCAACTTTGAACCGCTTAAACCCCAGAAACCCTAAGTTGTGCCTCACCTCTTCACTCTACTTTCCGCTTACCGCTTTTTGTAACATTAGCGTTCATACAAATCTTCAGGAATGCTTATAAAAATCTTACTCAAATGCTTCAGCGCCCTTCGGAAATGTTTCATCACCCATACAAGTCATCTAAAATGCTTCAGTGCCTTCAGCTCTTATCAAATTAAAGTGGATATGTTCCAAGTTCTTTGATGTATTGACAACTTTACAATATATACTAAAATAGACGAATCAAATATCTATCACATATTCTTTACATGCTGACTAAAAAAGATAATACTAGAAATATGGTAATTGAAGAATAAAAGTAACAAGAAAAATGATTGTCTTTTTATACTTCCACAATACAGAAATCAATCTGTTCTCCGTAAAAATGCTCATCTATCAATTAAGTAGATAATACTTTTTTCAGCCAACAAATTAGAGTTATTTCTGTGATTTCATGAATAATAATGGAAACGAAAGTTTTACCTGAGCTAAACCTACAACATTCATGGAACAAAAGTAATAGTCTTTTGTCCAGAGATAGTTACAAAGAAAAGAGTAGCCCTAAAAGATTAATATTAAATATGTATGTAGAGATGTCTTGAGACCATATCGTTTTCTTTGCAAGGAGCTCTGTCTGACTTGTAAAAAACTATGAAGAAACAACCCTCAAAATGTTAGAGGGGTTTGTCAAGATATATCTTATCTTTGCACACTGAAGCATTCGCGCAGGATATCTGTGGACATCGAAGCATTTCCAAAGATTTGTACGGGTGCTGAAGCATTGCTGAAAGCTAGCAAATTATTCCCTTAGGAATTCCCCGAGCTTTCCTCTAAAGTTAGTTGAATGGTGAAGCATTCCTGAAAATTTGTATAAGCGTCGAAGCATTCTTGAAAATAGAGAGAATAAGAAAAGAAGTAGAAAAAATATACCTTCTTACCTAAAACAATGATTATTGTTGTTAGAACAGAGTGTTTTGGCTATGGATGGAAATGATTAGCAGATGCTTTGAAGAATTGAATGACTGGGATTTTGAAAGTAGGACTTACGGGTATATTTTTATATGGAAAAGGTTGATATGAAAGAAAAGTCTTTGTATAAGTTTTCTCTGATGCTTCAGTTGACTGTTTGGAGAATTCATGAAAACTTTTGGCTATTTCAGCTCTTTGATTGATTTGTAGAATTAACTTTATATATGAGGAAGAAAATGCGAGAATGAGTAGTGGGGTGAGTTGAATTCGTTATTAGTGGGGTAAGTGGAATGGTGTTGTTGAGTTTGCTAAGGGAGTTACTAACTTTCTTGTTACATGCTTTACTTTATCTCTGTTTCGTACTTGGGATGAATCCTTGTAGATAGGAGATTAGCAAAGAAAAAAAAGTTAGGATTTAGGATATATTTACTTTTAAACGAAAGAAGATCATCGAATAATTCATGTATGGAGGTATGTATCTTGTACTTGAATGTCTGGAATATTTGAAGATTGAGGATTTGGTAAGGATAAATCGATTGTGGTTTTAACAGATTTTTATTTATTTATCGCTTAACATATATAATTCAGCATAGTCAAGCACTCATAGTATATTATTCAATACATACCTTTATTTTTTGTCAATCACATGTTAACAGCTTAACAGATATAAGAAGATTATGTTGTGTACTTTCCATCCTCACATGAGGCCAATTACCAATTATAGATACTCTTCCTTTTCTGTGATAATATTTTTAAGGTTATTTTTAGTTTTTGCATTAAGGATGTGCATGTATGGGTAGTCTTCTTTTTAGGAGTAGCATGACACTATTAAGAAAATGTGGAGTATAAAAATCTTTTCAAAGAATCATTTGGCAAAACGATTTTGCTCCATGAAGAATTTTTTATTTTTACATAAAAATGGGAAAAATCCTATAGAGAGAGCATCACACCCCATAGTCAGATTAAAAAAAAAAATCTAATTGGATTTGTGAGACAAAAATATACAATATAACAACCAATATTTTTTATTTTTTTATTTTTTAACATTCATATTTTACATAAGAAGACAATTACTCTCAAGCTCTCTTTACAAGACATATATCAACTATTTTCCACAGCAGCTCTTTCTTTACGCCTCCATTTGATCTGAAATTTTTGGATTAATAAAAGGTGAGCTGTACTAGCCTAGCGAGGTCACCGATATGGGGTTAAATAGTTTATTTAAAAAAAGAAAAGAACAATAAAGGAACCAAAAATTAATTGGAAACAGTATTAACATGCATGAAATGTTATTTCCTCGGTGACTATTTTACCTGCCGATGTCTCCTTATGTCCCCATCCATGATATTACAATGAATTAACAATAACAATTTGAGGCTGAGGCCTCGTATAGTCCGGGTATATGCCATTCAACCAATCAATGCCCCTTCAGCACTGACGTTCCTTTTCAGTGTTATAAATCCATGTATGGTTCTGAGGTTGCATGCAGAAACGTGTAGACTAATTAACAACAATGAATCAGTCAAGCAGATACTTTATACATAGTACATGCATCATTTTATGAAGGGGAAATCATCATCTTGATTATCTAGTCTTGATCCTAAAATAAGAATCTGCTAGTGGTCTAAATATGAACCCATTAATATTCTTCGTTCATAAGTCTAAATATGTAGAGAAAAGAAAAGAAGTAGCATGCAATAGTTGGCAGAAGTAGCATATTAGTACACATGGTATTTTACCGAACTTTTAAACATAATAGGTACAAGACAAAGTAATTAGCGAGCTGGTGGACGTTTGCATATGCTTTCAGAAGAGAAATTATGTATAAGATACTAGATGATCTCGCTTAAAGTTGTAAATAAGTGGGAGCTTACTCTTTTCTCCCCCACGTTTGTTCTTACTACAAGCTTGGAAGTGTATGAGACATCTCTTTCATATTTATATGGGGAGTTACCGCCGTTGTCCTACCCATTCATTGGTTACATCTAATGGATAAATAATGAGTAGCCTATGTGCTTGTTTGGCAATTTTTAGCTAAGGTGAGGATGACTCGTGAACACATGTTGGATGGTGGCAATATTTACCCATTTGGTTGACTTGTTTTTACTCTTATTATTATTATTATTATTATTATTATTATTATTTGGCTAACTCATATTTATTTTCATAGCATCTCCATAATCATGTGATAGCTATAAAGAAAATTAAGGGCTAGATAGACTATATATAAAATATTAACTATAAATATAGTGATTAGCTTGTCAACGTGCTATTAGTGAAAAAATAATTAGGTGTGGTGTTATAGAGGGCCCTCTATGAAAAATCTTATCAGAACGTGGGAGATTGTGACACGTGTATTGCTTAGAAAAACTACCAGTTTAAGATTTGTGTGGGGGGACTCGCTTCAATTCCTTTTACTCCCTATATGATTTTTTAGAGATGATCCTCTATAGAATTCTTTTCCAAACCGGATACAATGTGACATTTCATGTTGCTAAATGAGCTACCAAAAGACCAACTAGTATTGGGATCCATTTCATTTTGCTAAATGGGCAAGCAAGAGGCCAGGTAGTGTTGAGACCTATCCTGCTATCAAATCAAAGCAGATGAACCTCAACATACTTGTGTATTGACAGTTCATTTTGCTAAATGAGTTGACAGCTCATATCTAATATCACTTCTCTCATTGTAATTCCTCCTGTTTTGTTTCTTCTTCGTGTCATACAGCTCCGTCCTAATGCGATTGCACTTGTTGATGCATTCAACTACACCGATCATTTCTTGGGTTCAGTTTTGGGGCGTCACGATGGAAATGTGTACCCCAATCTCTACGAGGCAGCATGGAAAGACCCCCTCAATGACTCAGTTGTGCCTGATGGATACCATGAGTACATTCATCCGTTGCTGAAGCAACAGTTTGGGGTATCTAGACTATGAAAAAAAGCTGGTTAGCGTATAGAAAGAGCAAAAGCCAATTGTAATTTCAAATGTTTCTTGCAGAATCCGTGACATTCATATAATCCACGAAGTTGGTTGATATTTGTAAGAATAATGCAGCCTTCAATGGGTACGAGGTTGTAGAAGCTAAATCATGCTGATCATCACACTGTTTGATTTGTAGGAATATAGTAATTTTCTTTATGAATAGGTATTCATTGTTGGCATTGTATTTGATAGAGATTTGTGATGAACTAGTATTTTAAAATACTAGTATGCCACACGTGTGTTGCACGTGGCATACATGGTTTGAGAAATTATTAGTAAATAATATATTCTACATTATTAATTCTTAAATATGTATTTACGATATAATATTTACTTATAGTATATTGATTCTCAGTATATCATGCACGAAAGTTATAAATGCTACTAAAAAATATTAAATGTCTAATATCTTGTTGGAATAGTAGAAATTATTATTAGATGCAAAATTACAAAAGCTATAATAGTAAGATGGAATCATAACTGATATAAAGATATTCTTTGAATAGCTCAGTTCATGGGAATTATTTAAGTCTATGGGGTACGAGGTCGTAAAAGCTAAATCATGTTGATCATCACATTGTTTGATTTGTAGAAGTATAGTTATTTTCCTTACGATGTACTTATTGTTGGCATCGTATTTGATAGAGAATTGTGATGAACTGGTATTTTAAAATATTAAGCTATGATGTTATGTGATGCGTATGATTAATAAATGCTTGACCGTTGGTGCAAATTCTCTTAGTTTATGGTAGATAGGAAGTGGAGAGTTTAAGTTTTCAGTCAAAATCATTTATCATTTAACGGATTATTATGATTTTGTGTGTGTAGAAGTTTGGAAAGTGCAGTTCAAAAGCATAATTGTATTTGGAAAAAAAATGATTATTCTATAGGGTAAATTATAGAAAATCCTCATGAACTTTTTAGGAAGTTGCAGCGAGCGAGCAACACCAACTACACTAAATCCCCGTAAACTTCTAGAGAGTTGCACATAACCCTTATGAATTATTTTATTTCAGTAAATTTCCCATAAAAATTTCTTATTTAATCTCTAATAAATTAGCATCATTGATTCTAACATCTCGCGAGCATTTGTTCACAAAAAGATAAAAATACTATTTTCGTCCCAAATACTTACGTCGCAAGAAACAAAAATCATGTTTTTGGGGATTTTATGTGCTAAAACGATTGGATTAACTCAGTAGTGGAGCTACATAGTGTCCTGTGGTATCACATGATTGGATTTTCTACCTGATATGTACTTTTATTTATTTTTACATGTATTTATTACGTAGAACACCAACAAAATTAAGGTAGGACACCGCTAATGATGAAATCTTGGAAAAATATGAAATTCAAAATACAACCATGATAAATTTGTATTAGAGAAACCACTGAGAAAAAAAAATTCTAGCTCCACCACTCATCTAGGCCAATCTGTAGACTGAAGTTAATTACATGTAACAACGCATATATTAGGGTTATTTTATCGATGCAACCATGTATTACATTGTTATAGCTATTTTATCGTCTTTGTTCTATTTTATCAGCACGCACGCTCTGCTTATGATGAGTGTGTTGAGCGTGTTACATTCTTACAGGTTGCTACAAAGTTAGTCCCTAGCTCAAATAATTGAAATTACTGCTAGATCCTTTAATTCCTATAAGTTATTTCAAATAAATATCTCTAGTCAAGATCAACTTGAAGCGATATTTAAGAATTAGAGTACGCTCTATCCAAAAAAAAAAAATAAAATAAAATAAAAAAGAATTGGATGACGCAATAACAATGGAGGGACTAACTACATAAGTATGAAACCGAAGCAGGTCTATGGGGGTCACGGGGTTGTTCGGACAATAAACCCGGCCCAAGAGAACCCTGGCAGCCCAAAATCAATTTTGCCATCGCATTCAGAAGAAATTTTCACGGTAAACTCAATCCCAGATTTAATCTCTAAAACCAACCTACTTTAAATTTATTTATGAGAATCGACCCACTTTCAGTTAATTACGGTACTAATTAGTCGGTGTTGTTCACCCCGACTAATTAGTAGCCTAATTACAAATGGGGTCAGAAAACAGGGAAGGTTTGTAGCTGCTAATTAGGCTACTAATTAGTCAGGGTTGGTAACCCCTACTAATTAATCGATTCTCATAAATAACTTTAAAGCTGGTCGGTTTTTAGGGATTAAATATGGAAATGAGTCTACAGTGAAAATTTCTTCTAAAAGCAATGGGTCAGCTATCAGCCCCTAACATCGCATTTCTTGGTTCGTTGTTATTATTATTATTTTTTAATTTGTGAAATAATGCCGCGTGTTGTGTTTGATTGTAGGTGCGTATCGGAGCTATTACGGAGGAAGAAGCAATCGGATGTGATGAGGTTCTTGCAGAGGGTCCGGTGCATGGGGAGTATCGCCAGCATCCTTCCATCGTTCGGGTCACCAGGCCAACCCGACCCGATAAGGCCCGCCGCCTCGGCTACGAGGTGATTCAATGCCTTTCTTTTTTTCTTTTTTCTTTTTGGGTGGGGGTGGGGGAGGCGTCCTCCTTGCATGTGCAATCCGCACCGTGAATTTTTTTTTTCAGCTTTGCAATATTCTGATTTAATGTACTTTTTAAGTCTGGAAAGGAGGACGATGAGATGGGTTTATCTGATCCCGATTGAGATTGTGTTAAGGTTGTAAATAAATGTCAGGAGAAAATGGAGCAAAGTATTTGGATAAATTAAATTTCACAAAACCCCCTGAACTTTGGGTCTCACAAAATCGCTATAAACTTCCAAAATTTCCCGATGGCCCCCTTACCTGTAAATGGTAAACGACTAAAATATCCTGAGAGATTTTTTTTTTTTTTGGGTGTGGTGGT